AAGAGAAAACCTCTCTCTCGCTCTTGCTGCGTTCCTGCCTTCCTCACCAGCTGTCTCTTTCAGATCCCCAGCGAATGGGGAAGTCTGGAAGAGGAGCAAGACGCTGTCCATTTCAGATCCCCAGCTAATGGGGAAGGCTGCAAGGGAGAGAAGCAAGCTGTTTCTGCATGTGTGCGTGCGCCTGCTGATCCTTTAAGAGCCCTGGCTGAAGCATAAAAGGCTGTGTCCCTCTCAGCACAACAAAGCAGCAAAGAACTATGGGAAATCTGGTAACAAGCACAAAAACAGGGAGAATCCCACAAATAGCTTTCACACTACAGCAATTGCACAAAGAAGGTGAATTTGTGAATGAAATGACTGAAAATGACTATTTTCTGATTTGTGTCACTTTCTGTTTGGATTCAAAGTGGTTTGCACATGACGCTGTGTGAGAACCATCTGCACAATTGTGCTTAATATGCTGGATAACCACGGATTCTGACCCATTTAAATTTCTGATTTTCCCCGTGTGATAAACTCCTATGAAAGTAATGCTTCTTCCATAGAAGTCAGTTACATCTGGAGGGTACCAAATTGGCTAGTACATTTTTTTTTTGGCACAACTTTATAGCTTTCCATAAAAAATGTGAAGTTGCCCCAGCGGTGAGTGGAAATCATTTTTAGTGCAATGATAGCAGGATATGACACAGACAATGAAACATAGAAAGAGGCATGTTGAACAATGGAGATGTGGCAGAATGTTGGGTAAAATGTCCCTTTAAGAAGTGGTAAAATAATTTCTATGGCTGTAAATGTTAAGAAACACCAGGTGCCAAACCTAATGGTATCACCACTGTATATAAGGGCTCTGGAACCTAGGACCAGTGTGGGTTGAAGAGAGGAGTTGATGTGTTGAAAAGTTTGTAGAATGTGTTTATTGGAGAAGTGGATTGTAGCAGACAGTGTATGTTGACAGAAGTCAGAACTTCTGTTGTAAATATTTTGTATATATTCTGCAACAGTAAGATAAAAGCCTCCAAGGACTTTGGAAGAAGTCAACTGTGTCTGTGCCTTATTTCAGGTTGGTTAGTGCCTTATGGCCAAATACTGCATACTGGGTTGTGCTTCTGCATTCTGCTCTGAGTGACTGTTGAGATCAAGCACCTCAGACTGTTGAGATTGGCACCTCTATTTGGATCTAGTTTTTATTTTATTTTTTATTTTTTTGTTGCTGCATACCTGCAGGACACAGAGGAGAGCTAACACAGAATTCACCCAGTACTTGGATTAGACCTGAAAGAATCCTAAAGGAATGGGTGCTAATCTTTAATTCTCTAGATTTTTGGACTTCAACTGCCAGAAGCCATAGCTACTCCTAATTATCCAAAATTTAATTTCACTTCATTACAAATCCGAGAGAAATATTGGACATTTTTATATTTATTCAAATGATTTGAAAAATAATCAAAAGATTCTTCCATACTAGCGATTTGTGCCAATTCACACTGCAATTTTTAACATAATTTTTGACACTTTTTATCATTTGCCCATCCAAATGCTTTCCCAATTTTTTTTTAAAAAAAAACAACAACCTTCAATAGAGAGGCAACACAGTTCAGTTCAGTTGTGGGTATCTTGCTTGTGATGGGTGTTGTGACAGTAGATCATCACCCCAGAAATGTTTCCAGATGTGTTGTAATTCTTATACAGTCTTGTTCTGTTTACTCTAGAGGATATTTGGAGACAGCTTTTTGACCACTAGTGGGTCCTGAGGGCCATAAAACCAGAAGTGGGGCACACTTTCAACACACCTGCTCTAGAGGCATGGACTTCTCAGCAGGAACCAAAATGACTCAACAGAGGCTATCATACTTGGACATATCATGAGATGATAGCACGCATTAAGAAAGAGAACAATGCTTGGTAATGCTGAAGGCTATAGGAAGAGAGAAAGACTACACTACTGGTGGATGGAGTCAATCAAGGAAGCCTCCATGCTGTTTTTGCAAGAACTGAGCAAGGCTGTTAATAACAGGGTGTCCTGGAGTTCTCTTATTCACGGGGTTGCCCTAGGTTGAACTTGACTTGCAGGAAATAACAATAAATAGCACTAAAGTAGAAATTATAATGGTGCTACTGTTGTGTTTGTTTCCTACTCTTTGGACAGTGTCTCCCCTAGTTACTCAGTTCAGTGACTAGGCTGCATCTGCACTGTACAATTAATGCAGTTTGACATTGCTTTTACTGCTATGGCTCAATGCTATGGAATTCTTGGGCCAGTCACACTCTTTCAGCCTCACATAATCACAATAGCAAACCCCCTCTGAAGAAACATGCCAAGAAACACCTATTTGATAGGTTCGGCTTAGGGTCACCATAAGTCAAAAATGACTTGAAGGCATACGGCAACAACAACAATATAACAACAAAGCAATATGAATACTGTTATAGAATCCTGGTTGAATAATCACTCTTTGTTATATTACAGATGATATTCTTACATGCTAGAGATATCAATAAGGTGAATGTGATCTTCAAAACCTAGATGGCTGACTAATTCTTGAAACTCCTCAGTAAGACGAACCAAACCAAGGTCCAGATTAAATTCTGCAGGAAATTCCATAATCCAGTATCTGAAATCAGGACAGAAGACATTCACATATCAGCTCATGAATTCTTTGTTATGATGTCCACAACTGGAACAGTGGTGTCACTGGGGAAGTGTAGGGGGATGTAGTCTGCGCTAGGTGAAACCCTAGAAGAGAGGTGATATCTGGTTGGGCCCTCTTCCCACTGCGTCCCTCCCGACTTCGTTGCAGTGGTGCAGGCTTCCTCACAAGAAGGATTCTGCCATAGCAGTAGAGAGGCTCAACCACACCTCTCCTGGGTTTGGCTTGGTGGTGAAGGAGAGCGCCAAGTGCCCCATTTTGGCTGTTGCCATAACCCCCTGGCAGACCCCCTGCACTATGTGACACCAGGGGCGGGGATGCCAATGAACTGGAAATCTACAACTGGGTAACACTATAATCTATAATTAACTTTCCTGGGTGAAAAGACAGAGATCATTTGGACACCTCCCTTTTCCCACTGTGAAGCTATTGGGGGTGCAAGATTAGATTATAAAAATGGAAAAATGGCTCCACTTCTACCCAGTATAGCCCCAATTGAATCCCACCTGTCAGAATGCTGTAAAGAGAAGCAGAATAATTCAGGAGATTAAAATTTGTATCTCCTGAATCATGTGACTGTCAACATAATGCTGCTACCACCTCCATCATCATTGTCTTCAGATTGGACCAGATAGTCTCCTCCTCTTAGATTTCCAAATATGTGTATGTATATATGTATATGTGCATATAAATTTCTTCCACATCTTGGTGGAACAAAAGTCTTACTTACCTCATGAAATAGCAGATTTTTAAGCGGATTTCACTGCAGTTTTCTCCACTGGCACTTCTATATGTAGATTAGTTAAAGAAGCCTTTATATATCTTAATTTAAATACAGTAATTCTAATATGGTGCATTTTTCTTCTTTAATTAAACATTTGGCACATTTTATCTGTTGCTGCAGTAGTTTTGCAGTTTTTATCTGTTGCTGCAGTTGCTAGCAGCTACTTTACTTTATATTTGTTTTTTGCTCTCCAAGTTCCTCAATGTAAACCAGGTTTTACATTTATAAGTAAATAAATTAAAGGCAATATATTGATGATAGCAATAATATAAAAAACTAAATTAAAACTATATTCAATGTGACAATTTAAAAAATTATGAAGGAAATTTTTAAAATAGAGGAAGGCAAATAATTTGTCCTAAGATATTAATCAGTATCACTACTGAAGTATTTGTAAAGCTGTACTCTACACAATGCATAGAACTTTATCCAAGCACTGATTTTAACCCCTCCCCACAATAGACATAACCAATATAAACTCAAATAACAATATCCCAACATTAAGATCACTGAATAACCAGACTCTTGATACTACCAATATATTTCTCTAAAAGGATATAGGAAAAGAAGTTTGCTTGCTAGTTCTGTTGACGATATGTACCATCGGTGCATTAAAAGGAAAGTTCTTGGCAAATGATTATGACTTAGTTCTCCTTTATGATCTGAAAAAGATATGCACAAGCATGACATTCAAAATAGGATAATGTGCATTACTGAATGATACCAATGGTGAAACATGAATATTAAAGGCAGATGAATATTTCTCTCGCACACCTCTAAAGTGATATTGACAAAGGTTTTTTTTTAAAAAGCTTACAATTATTAGTAGTTAAATGAACATATTAGAAAAGAAAAGTAAATTCTCCTATTCTATTAACATAAAGCTGTGTACATATAGTCTGAGTCTCCCTTATCCAAAATGTTTGGGGCCAGAAGTGTTTTGGAATTCAGATTTTTTTTATTTTGGAATATTTTCATATATATAATGTGATATCCTGGAGAGAGAACCCAAGTCTAAACATGAAATTCATTTATGTTTCATATGCACCTTATACATATAGCCTGATGGTAATTTCATACATAACATTTTAAATAATTTTGTGCATAAAATAAACTTTATGTACACTGAACCATCAGAAGCAAAGTTGTCACTATCTCAGCCATGCATGTGGACAATTTTGGATTTTGGAGTATTCTGGATTTTGGGATAAGGAATACTCAACCTGTATCAATTGATTTACCAGGGCTATGACTCAGTCTCAGGTAAAACAACTGTTTATTCAACTACTAAGTTCATTTCACTACAGGATTGTTCATGCCACTGTATTTCCAGTTTCTATGTATGGTTGTGTAAGTTGGAAGGTGAAGAAGGATGATAGGAAGAGAAACAACTCCTCTGAGATGTGGTGCTTGAGAAGAGTTCTGTGGATACCTGGACTGGTATAAATACAAATAAAGAGCTCCTAGAGCAAATCAGATTAGAGCTCTCCCAGGAAGTCAAGATGATTATACTGAAATTGTAGTACTTTGGACATATCATGAGAAGGCTAGAAAAACAATAAGGCTTGGCAAATGTGGCATAGTGGTTTGAGTGTGGGACTACTACTCTGGAGACCAGGGTTAGATTCCTTGTTTTGGTGAGCCACACAGACCCAGAAAACCCCATGATAGGTTTGCTTTAGGTTTGGCATAAGTCAGAAACAACTTGAAGGCAAACAACAGCAAAAGCAAGGGTGGAAGGCAATAGGAAAAGAGGAAGACTGCATTGCAGATTCATAAACTCAATTAAGAAGCCACAACCCTATGACTGCAAGACCTGAAGGGGACTGCTGATGACAGGGTGACTTGGACGTCTTTCATTCATAGGATCAGAATGAGTCAAAGTTGACTTGATAGCAGTTAATAATAACAATAACGATCCAGTCTCAACAAATGTCTTACAATATCTGCCTTCTCAGGCATTGTTTTACCCATCTTCTTCTATTAGAAAAACCTCTTTCTTTTAAAAGTAACTTGGCTGATTTTGCATAATTAAAGCCATCAACATGCAGTCACTAGTAAAATCCTGTCAATTGTGTCTGCTAATTTTTTTTTTTTTTGACAATGGTTTAGTCGGGTTGTTTTCAGTTTGTACAATCCCAGTTGCTTCACAACTGCATCTTCAGAAGGTTTCCACTGGTTTAATGTTCTTCTTAGTTTAATGTTCTTCATTTAATATGCCGCATCCATATTATTATTATTACATGTAGGCAACTGGCAAAATTCGTCATTGGTTGGAGTGCTATATCAGGTACTTTGTTAAGTATACTTAAGAGGAAGATTAAGGGCCTTTGCAGACTGCTAGAAATAGTGCAAATTGAGCCCAC